ATCGGATGTCCCAGCTGGATACGTTGGTCGATGCTCATGCTGTTAGACATTTGTTCACCTGACAAGACTGATATGTCATAAGGCCGTCATAATAAAGATAGATTATTGCTGACTGTGTCGTTAATCCATGTTGATCCACTCGTAATCATTCTCCATCCAGTGGATAACGTTTGTTGAGCGCTGTGGTCATTCTAACTGTCACTGGTACCCGTGAAGATCCGGGTTAGAATTGTCCTTCAGTAACCCATGTTTGTCTTAAGAGGCGACTAACGGGATCGGGTGGTCAAACTCGCTGACAGATGTCATCGTATCCCAATTGCGAACATCGATGCTCATGCAGTTGATCACAAGATTGTCTGGTCTAGACTCGATTATTTACAGACCGCTGCCATCTGTATACTTACGTTAGTACTTGACTTTAGAGGTCGTCATAGAGTTATGGTTATCATCTGTAAAGGTGGTTTGTTTGTTTGTTGTTTAACGCCGCACTAACCAATATTCCAGATATAAGACAGCGGTCTGTAAATAATCGAGTCTGGACCAGACAATCCAATGATCAACATCATGAGCATCGATATACACAATGGGAATGACATCTGTCAATCAAGCAGCCCGATCCCGTTAGTCGCCTCTTACGACAAGCATGTGTTGCTGAAGACCAATTCTAATCCGGATCTTCAAGGGTCCCAGTACAAATGAATTTAGATTACTACATTTTTGTGTTTATGGCAGTTCGAGAACGACTGAGGTTATAATGCCATGGGTTTCATAACATAATCGAGACAATGCGTGTGTTATCCCGGATTATCAAACGTATGATGCATCATTTTGTGAAAGTACACAGACGGTTAATCTTAACATTACACATAGTTCATGTCTATCATTGCACAAGCACAAGTATGTGAAGATCAATTCCAAATTGGATCCTCGATCTGTCAAAAACATTATTGTGACAGATATGGAGAATTAAATGTCCCCAGCCTTAAGGGTTTATTTAAAACGACCCTACCTCAAATATGCTGTAAAGTTGTTAAGCAGTAGTTTGTAAATTTGTGTCAACATTGACAAATCTCAGTATTTTTCAGTTATATTTTTGGGATTGCAGTAGTTTATACTCATCTCAAAAGCACGAAATCGCGTTATGAAACCATGTTTTCCCGAACCATCCCATAACTCAAGACGACAGCAAATGAGGATGCAGTGGGGTGAAAGCTTAAAGTCGTAAAATGAGTATATTCTGACACACTCTATTCCAAGATATGAAATAGTTAGGAGTTAGAATATACATGTCATGTATCACAAGAAGAAGTAGACGTCACCATCCGGACGTTCTGTATTGACGAACATAAAGAAGGCACGGTGGCTGAGGGGTTTTGATCGTTGAATCTGTATACTCGTGATTAAGTGCTTGACTCTGAGATTGTGAGTTCGATTCCCGGATAGGTCTCAACCCCCCAGAATATCACTTATGAAAGATGTGTGGTTAGTCTTATCCATGCGGAACACCAAATATATTCACTTGCGTTGAACATGGAGAGGTCAATATCCGAAGGATGTTGACGTGCACTGTTTAATCGTAAACGTGTACGTGTATGCTCTGTTTAACTGACACATGCTTAACTGATTGGCTGACCGCTGGGTGACCACGACATGACCGCAGTAACGACCACCAGAAATTTTATCTAGCGGGAAGTGAAGATGCTTAAATGCTGCCTACCTTAAGCGACACGTCGGACGAGAGTCGTATCACATCTGCAGCTGTAAACAAGTCATGGACGTCAAGTAAGATTCTTCTATATTTACGTCAGTAATCTACTCACTGCACAGGTTTATATACTCGTATCACAGTTCAACGAAAATGGAAAAAGCGATTCCATAAACAAAGATGATGTCATGATTGTATGTGGATTGCTAGTTTGAGTGATCGAGTGAGTTGGGTTTAACGCTTTTTACACAATATTCCTTATATTGGTATAAAAGCCGGAAGTGATTCAGGTCTCAGACATGTACTACGTTGCTGAAACCCATGAACACTGGTATGGTACTGTCAAATCTCCAAACATAATCGATGCGAACCAGTGTTAAAACCCACCCACATAGGTATGGCGACCCCATGACAAGCAACTCGGCACAACCATACAAATGTTAAGTATGATCATTAACTAGCAAACAATCAATGTATTGTACAGTGAGGTAAGTAGGCTTGGCGTCACCACCCATTAGTGCTCATAAGTCGGCTATTTTAGGGCGGCCGGTAGTTATTCTTGTTTCGAACTGGCAACAAAACTTATCATGTTATGTCAACAGCAGAAAATGAAACGACAACATTTCAAAACATTAGCCATACTAGCACGTATGTTTGTACTGAGCGAATGGGTATAAGTTAGGGCTCCGGACAATATTTTTCCACGGTGTGTGAGCTCAGTGTGAGAACGCCCGATGTCACGCAGGTTTGTGACGTTTTCCCCTCATGTATATCCCCCGAATGCATAAATGTTGAAGAAAAACCAAGTTTCAAAATTGGGTGAATTATTTATTAGAACCCACGATGATTGAATTATGAGTCGCTTTAAACTTGGCCAGCATACCCCAGAACAGATATAGACGGTCATGCATAATTCAATGGCAAAACTAAATTGTCATGATGATCAGTGAATTCTGCGTAGATTGCCACAATTACCTGGGACGAATATTTTTATGTCTTTGAATATTCCCAAATGGCATAAATACAAATATGATAAAAAATATTACCAAATTTCATCTGTTTGTTTTTCTGAAGTTATCTAAATCGTAATTAGATAAATAAAACACCAAAGTTAAACGTCTTTTCTATATATATTAACATTGCATGCTCATAGAGTGACAGAAAATGAAACTGTTTCGTAAACAGTGTATACTTGAGTTGCACTTTGAACGGTATCCTCCCAAAACGCAGAACTGCCAAAACGCAGACCCGTTAAAACAACACTCGTTATGGTGTGTTGCATCCGTGATTAGTAGGCTGTACCCTTTATTAAGAAAAATGGTCGTCGTTGTATATTTGCTGCATTGGTGTTGTTTTGTCTCTGGCTCTCTTCCTCATGACGCTAACAAATCTCACTGCTCGGTCATCACTAGGTGGACGGTTGTGTTCTGACGTGCCACGAACGTAATCTCTGACTGGGACTTTATGGGAGTAAACCCTTTGAACTGTGACCTGGCCTTTTGACAGGGAAGTCAAATACCCTAGGGAGACGGGCTCTTCTCACCTGGCATTCACACAAGGACGGATAGGACAGAAGTTGTTGTCGGTGATTTGATCAAGCTTGCTTGCCTGGATCACCTGCATGATTCATTATGTTGATAACAAATCGTAGTTTGTACTGTTGGTATTTGAAACAACATGCATCGTAAATGTGTAGCAGAAGCAAACCAAATACAATACATATGAAATCTGCAACATTGTATATATATATGTCACTATACAATAATTAATTGTTGTAAAGACAATCATTTTGTGATCATCATTTCCTCATCTAATTAAGTACATTTTTCGGCTTACCATTGTCTGAGCTATCAATGAAAAGGGGTCGATATGTACCTCATCCATACGAATACGTGGGTAATCTTCCGATATGTATCATGTATGAGAAGCTATGGACAGATAGACAATGTTTGGATTTATGGAAATATGGATTTCATGTCTAACGCACTTTCTTGCAACTGTTTTGATAATTCCTTACATCAAGTTACGTGCAAAACATTTATACCCACAAATTATTACTTATATACTTCTAAATCAAAGTTTAATATCCGTATGTCTACCAACGATTGCACCCAAATCAACAATGTATATTTATCCCGCAATGCCACTCTGTAGAGCACTGACTACATTTGATCGAATATTGTACAACAACATGTAAACTCTTGTTTACATGAGATTCTTGAGAGGCATTTAGAAGTTGGTGAATATATAAGACGAGTATATGGATGGCAACTTCTTGTTTATTGTATTATACATATACATATATCCATATACTCGTCTTATATCTTGTTTACGTGTACGTAATGTATGTAGCTTTGGGCTAAAATCAATACATGTATCGTTATAAACTTGTTACTGAAGCCCCAGTATACATTAATAATCACCCATTGCCAATGTTAGCTGCTGCGGTAAATGACAAAATGAAATAGAGTCTTCCCTGAGGCTGTTAATTTCATGTTGGCTTTTGAGTGAGTGAGTGAGTGAGTGAGTGAGTGAGTGAGTGAGTGAGTGAGTAAGGTTTTTACGCCGCTTTTATCAATATTCCAGCAACATAAAGGCGGGGGACACCAGAAATGGGCTTCACACATTGTATCCGTTGGCTTTTGAAGTAACTGTGCACTAAGCTCACAACGTCTGTCATATATAGGAGTTTTGCATAGGGATATATGGCAAGCAAACTGAATGCTTGAACATGGGCATCGCACTGGCTAATCCCATTTGTAGAGTGGAGATAACATGCAATACTGTGAAGCAGCAGAGGTAGAAGAATAGAATGTGTTTACTGACTGAACTTTAAAGTGAATAAAACTAGCAAAGTACATGCACCTAAGGATTACAGGGCACACATGGACATATGCAACCTATGTGTACAGACGTATACACACAAAATAATTACTAACAGGATATTAGATGCTTGATTGAAGATGCTATCTGATTAACATAGAGATTTCTTTCTGGGTTACATCTTCTTTTTATTCTTGAGTACAACGTTTCACGGCTTGCTCTGGCCCCATCATCAGTTTTACCTGATGATGCGGCCAGAAGAAGCCCTGAAACGTTGCAACCCAGAAAATAATCTCTATGTTTAAGAGGATCTTGTTATATATTAATAGTAAAACGTATTAAGAACAGAAAAATAGAAGAAGAAAAAACGCCGTGCGGTCGGTTTCAGTTATATGCTTATAAAATGTTCCTCAAATGGGACCAGTTATTTTGTTGTTGAGTATACATGCCAATGTAATTAACGCCCCGACTGATGGTCTCTTTCTTCAGAGGCAGCCTGTTCCTGATGCTGAGTGGGCTGTATGGCATACTGCTGGTGGTACTAGGATCGGTCATACCAATCACACAATCGTTTGTGAATACAAGGCACGTGTACGCATTTGAGGTTAGTCATTACGATGCTCTATATTCTTCAGCGAGGAGGCTGATGACGATCATTTCCTGCTACAGTGACACAAATCCACATATTTGAGTGGTGGCTTGGACCCTCTGCTAGACAACAGAGACACAATGCGGCAGTTTGAAAAGGTTATCCTGACCAGATTCAACGTCCGTGTGTATCGTAATGGAATCGAATCATCGACCTTCCATTCTGGTCAAACGCTCTATCCAGTAGCTTTGAGCCAGTTATTATAGTTAACGATGTATATCATTAGATGCTATTAATAATGTAAAACAGATGCATGGAACAAAATACATTTTCATTATTAAAAGCATATTTCGTCTCCTGTAACGTGAACTTATTCTCAACCTCAGGGTTTCTACATCTACCTATACGTGGTCAGCATCATCTTCCTCGTCTACGTCTATGCCTACTTGCTCAGGAGGAAGAAACTCAAAACGGACCTGTTGACGAAAACGCTGACCCAATCAATTTCCTTCACAAGAGGATGGGCCAAGACCTTTACCAAGACTGATGACTACCCTTCAGCGAGAGGCAAACGGAGGAGACATATCTCTGTAACTGTGTCCCCACATACAGGAAGTTTCTACTTACGCCTGGGTGCCGTCGGTATGTAGATCATATACCTTGTGCGTGGATATTCTTAATTTTATAAAATGTGAACGCAAGAGAATACGAATAAGTCTCGGATGCATTCTCCTCAGATTTGAGCAAAACAAAATGTAAATAGACGACTGAAGATGAACAAGCCAGGAGTTAGCGCTAAAAGGTCAATAAGCCATGCCCTACCAGTAGTACTCACGCAAGTTGCTCAAATTGTTGAATGATGCAGCTCAGTACTCCAGTGACATGAACACAAATGATGTGAGGGGTCAGAACATTAGGAGTCGCCATAGCACATTTTCTGATTTTTTTTAAAAGATAATTTTGTTAATTTAAGTGCACATACATACATACATACATACATACATACATACATACATACATACATACATACATACATACATACATACATACATACATACACACACATACATACATACATACATACATACATACATACATACATACATACATACATACATACATACATACATACATACATACATACATACATACATACATTTGTATAGCGCCGAGATCCAGTACAACTGCTCAAAGGCGCTTTGTTTTCCCTCGAACACATTAAAGAGGTCATATATTTTCTTGTACAGGTGGAGATCCGTTTTAGCATATGTCTTTAGCGACTCATGCTTGTCTTAAGCGGCGACCAGCGGAACACATGTCATCGTATCCCAATTGCAGGGATAGATGGTCATGATGCCAATCAATGCTCATCATGTCAGTCACTACATTGTCTGATCCAGCAGACATACAGCTGGAAAATTGTTGAGTGCGGCGTTACAAACAAACAAACAATATCCTATTTCTTGGTAAGCCACACAGGTCGTGGCAACGTGAAACAAACAAGCACGTGTGTGGTGCAGACGAACCAGTGATCATAAAAGAATCGATTCTTTGACCTGAGCTCACGATAAGGTAATCCTGGCAGGATTAATTCATATACTAATCCAAGCGTGAATAGTGCAATCTGGAAAAGAAGGATGGTATTTTGAGATAAAGGTTAAAAATTCATACCTTAAAAACATTTTTGGGGGTTAGTGGACCCTAGTCCCCATGAGGTGTCAAATCAAATCAAAATCAAATTAGACATTTGTATAGCGCTACATATCCAGAGTCCTGCTCATGTGCGCTTAGTCGAATGCTCGTTTGAAGAGGATGGTTTTGAGACAAGATCGGAAACTGTTGATATTTTCCGATTTTCTGAGATCGGTCACAGGTAATCCATTCCAGAGTACAGCACCCGCTCTGCTACATGTTCTGTCCCCGTATGTTGTGGTTCGGACAGATGGAACATCTAAGCTTTGCTGACTAGCTGATCTGAGTGACGTTCCAGGCTTGTGAAGGTTGACTAGTTCCTGGAGATAGAATCGAGCAAGCCCGTTATTGGACTTGTCAACAAACATAAGAAGTTTGAATACAACTCTGTCTTTTACAGGGAGCCAGAGTAAGTCCTTCAGGACTGGTGTTCTGTGCACACATACATATGTGTGCGTGTTATGAGCCTGGCAGCTGTGTTTTGAACACGCTGTAACTTGTCCATGTACTTCTGCTGTATTCCATAGAGTAGACTGTTGCAGTAGTCTAGACGTGATGTCACAAATGCATGGGTTAGGCATTTTGCTGACGGTGTGTCCATGTACCTGCTAATCTGTCTGATGTTCCTTAGGTGGAAATATGCAGATATGCAGATGTTACTGACGTGATTTTCCATGCTCAATGTTGAGTCAAAGATGACACATAGATTTCGAGCATGGATTTCTGGTTGAATAAACGTATTTTCCAATTTGAACTCCAGGGACCTTGAACTGGAGTTCAGTCTGTATATGAAACGACAATCATCCTATATTGTGTATAATCCTTGTTTCTCACTCTGTAGGTTTCGGTATTGGGAGCATGATCCATAGTGGCCTTCACTTCGGGCAATTCCTGGTGTTTGAGCAAGATCTCTCCCACTGTTTCAGCATCGTGGAGTCAGCCGAACCCTTTCTTCACCTTATTTTTACATTCACGCAACTTTACTTCATATTTCTCAATTCGAAGGTAAATAATTGTTTGTCGTGCATGTGAGTACACGGAGGATGGCGGTGTGGTTGTACGGCATACAGTGCTTTGTTGCAGATTATAGTCATGTAAAAACAGGATTCTATACATTATTTATGAGCGTAACTACCCTTAATCCGAGTAGAACTGTGATTTTGTGAATCAGATTGTTCTGTTGGAAAACGTTAAATTTCATTCACGCTACATCCTCTCAGGGTAATGAACAAACGTGAACAATATCCAAAATAATTGTTGTGTCTCCTCTCACATTTGAACAATTTAGTCTGTGTCCAAAGGGAAAAAATCTTCTAGCCAAATATTAATCAAAACACAATTTGAACTACTATAAGAGAGAATTATTACAAGTAGTTTTACCCTTGTTTCGGACACAGATTTCCTTTTGTATTCAGTGTATTGTTTTATTTCTATTGCTTCTTTGTGAGCACGATTTGAAATTGATGACGCTATTAGAATAGCCTTCCGGTCAAAGTACACATATGTGCGAAAAAATACTATGTTGAGTTGGTTATATGCATTAACGAAACTGATTGGGATTAATGCACTGGGCAGCCGGGGATGGATACAGGTGAATGTTTTGTTTCCTTTTCAGATGTGCATCCATCGTTACAAAATCCTTGCTCGCTTTGGTCTAATGCACATGTGTGCTGCGAATGTGTGTGTCTGGTTCAGGAGTATCGTCGTGGAGACGCTGCACACAATACACGCACACAATCATGGTCAGCATAACGAGAGTCATCACCGCGACTACCACGCTGACCAGACAGTAAGCTATGACACAAACGGTCATGCCAATGATTCTCTGTGGGATGAGGAGAACGGAACTCTCACACATGGGAGAGCACTTCAAGGTACCCTTATTTGTCTTATCTGTCAGTGAAGTCGATACTTTCTTTAACGGATTATTAGTTTTGCTAAATATGTATTGGTGATGCGTTACCAATAGTGAATAACAGTGCTAACTTTTAGCTGGAATAAATCATCTATATATAGCACTAAACGCACATAGTGGCTCAATGGTATCTCCACATGGGCATATTAGTGGCTGGATTGTGTTACAATAATTACTCAGCAGTAAGACGATAGTACTAAACCTGTCGCATTACAGAACCGAGGTATATCGAAAAGGCGATTATCACAACAGCGATTCTGAGGTTATTTGCGATATTACCGTGACATTTAATACGATTTCGGCCCATCCAACTGCCGGGAACTAGGCCTGGTCTATCGCTTCTATGCTCAAGAATTTAAGCTCAATAAATATATGTGTATCCAAAGCCGTCTATAGAAAGGACACTGGTTCAAGATAATTCCTTTTAAATATACTATCCCAAAAAAGAAACACATAGGCCAAAATCTGTTGCGAAAATGTTGTACATGTATTTTCAAACATGCATAACTCGTCCACAAATAGACTTTAGTGCATGATTTTTTACACCAGTTTAGAAGAAGGTAATGTCTATACAACCAAGTGGATAATTTAGATAACGGAGACGCTGAGCGCGATGGTGACGACGTAGCACGGTCCCGATGTCGGGTCTCCCGGCTCTCAGACCAATTTCTTTCAACCTGTTCCGTACAGTTTGACCGAATATCCTCCGAAGCCCAGGCACCCTGCCTGCTGTGCCTCTCACCCGTGGCAGTACGATCATGCAAATGTAGTACCCGGATGTAACGATCTTGGGCTGCAGTGGTGACTCGAGGTCTGACTGTACGGGGACGGTTATTTGTTACGTCTGTTTGGCTGTGACGAGTTGCAAGCCGTGATATCGTGCTCAGACTAACATTCAGACGTCTGTCAATAGAAGATTGGTAATCTCCAGCGTGCATTCTTTCAATGGCGATGTTCCGTGTCGCAGAGTCAAGGCGTGGCGTAGTGATTTGACCTTGAAACTCCTTCAAAACGAATGCCAATTTCCGAAAGTAATCTGGATTTTTATTGCCAGACAGTGCATGCTCTTTGCTGCACAATTTCAACTGGAAGGTGATTTCTGTTGTGTTGTGGCGATGCCTTTTTAATCCTTGTAAGAAATCTCATCAAATTCAACATTTTCAGGTAATATCGATTTTTTACTTGTGCAACTGTGTAAAATCATGTTATCAACACTTTTGTTACATATTTTGACGATTGTTTGAACACAACATGTAATTAATAGATTTAATACAGAACGCCTATGCGTTTCATTTTTTGGATAGTATATTTTATGTCATGTAAAACATTTATGATGAAGATATGATGATGATGATGATGATGATGATGATGATGATGATGATGGGGATGATAAAGAGGAGGGGGAAGTGGAGGATGATGGTGTTGTTGTTGTTGGTTTTGTTCAGCAGCATCAACCTCGACGTCAGCTGGAGATGTCTGTCCCCAGAAAACTATGATGACTGAGCTTGTCGAGTCATCTGGTCCGTACCTGTATCCATGTACTATTGAGTACAGCCTGATGTGTGCAGGTAAGTCAGGAGTAGTACTAGAGTGGGTTTTTTGCATCAGATGCGGCTTAGAGGCTTATTTTTATAAAATAAGTTCCCCAGCCCCCCTTAAAATAGCCAGAACCATCCTTCGATGTGCCAGTTCAAATAAAAAATAGCAAAAGCCCTCTGTGGCCACAACCCACGGAGGGAGAAATTGGTGTTTTGACCAGAGACCCGCCTGGACCCTGGTCTGATGATGTTTGTGGTGCGCTGGTATTTCTCCCGTGGGGTTGTGGTCGACCGCGCTCTCCCATGAGAGCTCCGTGTGTTTATTTTTCGAACGGTAGGCTTCGAACCTCGGTCACAGAGTTGCGCTTCTCTGGACCTTGATCGTACCCAGCAGTCGTTCGACTAAGCCACAGAGGACCTGGGCCTTATTTCACAAAGCAATAAAGGTGATCGTAAGTCACTAAGGTAACCTTAGTGCAATGTTAAAGAATGGGAGTTAAGGTTAACCTTAGTTAAGGTTGCTTCGTGAAAGGACCCCCTGGTAGCCGAGTGCTTGGTTTAACGGGTCTATCCTGAGATTGCGTCGTCCTCTTAAACCGGGCTCCGTCTATAGTAGCGCAAAGGATGTCTGAAACCCGTCATTCCACTTCCGCTTCAATACTTCGTGCATGTTTGGTGGCTTTTTCACCTCCAATCTATGTCTCATAAAATACAAACACGATGGCCGTAGGGAGTTTGAAGAACGTTGAATACGATACATTAGTCGACGAACGCTGAAAAAGATTGCAGAGGCCATAATCTATCTTGAGCTGGGTTCCGTCTATACTAGCTACAGTAGCGCAGAACCAGTCTCGCTCGCCTCGTGCACGTTTGGTGGCTTTTCACCTCGAATCAAGGTGTAATAAAATACATTCACGATGCTCTTAGGTAGACTAGACCCCGCTGATCACGATGCATGCGTCGATGGACGCTGAAAACATGTTTAGAAACCACAGTCGGCTAATTTAGAATCAGGGTACATAAGCTCGCAAAGCGTATGAGCTATATATAGCTTGAATGCACCGTCCCTGACAGAGACTGACTGCCGGTCTGAAGGGAACGCTTCGGACTTAGAGTTTCAGCGTTCAAATTCCAAACAAAAATGTTTTTTTGTTTTTTTTTACTCAAACTAGTATCTCGGCTAGGCCATAATGACATCTACAAAGCAGTTTAACGTGAATCTTTGATGAGGTCTTTGTTGTTGGTCAGGAAGGCTTGAATGATTTGTTGTCTGCCTTGTTCTATGAGCTTTTTTCTCTCGTCTTCTCTGAAGTCGTCGGTTTTCCGAGTCTTGGTTCGAATCTTTTCCTTCATGCGGTAGTACTTGGCGAGTTCGGCTAAAATCAGGCGGACCTCTTCTTTCGGCGATGTTACTGTCCGTGAGCGCTGACGAGACGCGATCATCGATCGCGTTCAGCTTGGTTTCGGCCAGCACTCGGATTTCGTCATGTTTTAAGGCCTTCCGTTGCAGACGACGCGAAACGAGTTTGAGAGCTATTCCCGCCAGTCCCGATACCCCGGCGGCTACTTCTAACCCGAGGACGACGGGTGCGGCCACGATGGTGGATAATAAGCGGATGACGGCACCCCTGAGTCCCATGCCAGCGACCACGAGGGCCGTGTCCACGCCGTCGATGGCACTGACAGCCCGATGGTACATTTGTGCAATCTGAGTCGCATGTCGCGTTCTCGTTCCAATTGGCATTTGATTTCGCTGATCTGTCGCAAACGAAATCCACAAGAAAAAAATGGTGATTTCCAAAAATTTCCAATTTGGAAATATTATATTTCCCAAAATTTCCAAAATTTGAAAGATGATGTTTCCAAGGCTTGGAAACTTTTGGAAATTTAGGAAGGATTTTACCACTACTTCTTTCAATTTCTCCTTTTCCCCAAGGATCCCCGGCCCATGAGTGTATAGACTGAACTATTTCACGAATCTTTTGATCTGTTAGAGTTCTTATTGTTGATATACATAATGTATCTTGCATGTGACATGTTTACTCATGAAAACTGCAGTTGGGGATTATGTTTAGATTAAGTGTTTACTATTCGCCATCCTATGCGACCAACTAGGAACCAATTCTATATATTAGTTTAACTTCACTCATCTGCATTCTTCTTGTTCTATGTGTCAAAAATTGATATTGACTGTTCTATTTACCGCTAGTATGGCGATCATTTTCAAAGTCAGTTTCAAGTGTATGTTTTAGTTGTTATCCACAAAAGCGCAAATATGTTTAATTTTTCCCCCCTCTCAATGTTCGTATGAATACAAATTCCATACACCTACGCTATATGGACTATATAACAGTGTACAGATATACTGACTGACTGAGTGTATTACATGCCATAAAAGTGAACCCGTGCCATGGCGTAATGGGGTATTCCCCGTGAAGTAGGATTTTGTTATTACAGTATAATCTCGTTCATGTTGCGTCGGTGTTGTTATACGGGATTAAGACACTGGGTGCTATAAAATTCTGAACTTGTTTTGAAATATGATCGAATTTACTGAGTTAATTTACTGAGTTTAGCTCACTGAGATTATAATGATACTGATTCATGTGTTCACTCAACGTCTACGGGGATGATACGTTCTACGTCTCGCCAAAGTTATTGATTAATCTACTAATCTACTAATATCTAACAAAGTGCTAGAGTTTTGGGTGACCTTCGTAGGGTCAGTAATAAGTTGAAATAGGTCATACATGATTTGCAAATTATGTATCTTATTATTACATGGCGTGTTGGCATGGCAGATTTAAGAAGATAGTTGAAAAGGCCCTCCAAATGATAGTTGAGATATATTTCACATGATATGTTTCATCTTGTGATGATTAATTGTGGCAACACCAAATTATGTCATGAAAATATCAAATATCAGTTTAGCCTAATTTCATTTCTTTACCCCTTCAACTTTTCGTATCAACCTTGTGCCTGTTAAAACATTAACTGGCCTTTGTTCGAGATCACCAGGTCTTGGAGGCAATCACCCTATGTTTTTACAATTCTGCTTCATGGGAACTAACCGTAGTAGAATACATTCTCCCATTAACACCTGTCACAAGGGAGGGGCCATTTGAGTTTGTGCAATTTGCGTATTCACGAAAATCTCATGAACTTGTCAATAGAAAATTGGTTGTGTTGTCCAAACGTGCGGATTGAAGCAAATACTCAAGTGAATTCCCTTTTTACTGAATCATGAGTGTATCTAGATTAATTTGATCATTTACAAGAAGTACGTTACAGAATGTTTTAATAAAACATTCATTATAGATCAAGAGAAATCAGCCCACAAGCTCACAGATTATTCCAGAGACAAATATACATTTGAAAGATTCCAGTTTAGACAAGACATTAATTTCATAATAAGCCAGCCAATAGACTTTATGTTAATATCCCAGTTACAGTTATTTTGAAGGGTCAAGTCTAGATGCTTGTGATTATCTATGTCTTGAATTATCACACCGCTCATTGTAAGGTCAGGTTGGATGCTTCTGTTAAGTTTTCTACTAAACTGTAAAATAGGTTTGTCGCTGTGGTGACAATTATATACGTTTGAAAATGTTAAAACCTGCAATGAGAACACGACGCCACGCCAATAGCAACTCCATGCTTGTTTGATAGGTATTCTTGTCGATGCATAGAGAAGGGTTCCCATATTCATTCTTGTATCATTATCGAGATAAAGGGTAGGTTAGACATTTGGATCAAGGTAAAAATCGTTTGATGTTTGATGTTTTGACAACGGTGTTGTTTTAAGGGATTCTACAAGATGAAAAAACGTGTTCACTCATGGAAAGAAATAAGACATGTATACCAGACTACCAGTATGAGATTGAATCCATGTTAGTGAGTTCACACAGTCACTTTGATTTATAAATTAGTTCACTCAATTCATAAGTTGTGAGTTATTCATTTTCTTGCAGAAACTTGCTATAAGAATTTTGGAAATGACAGTTTTCACCATTATTTCCACAAATTCAGTTATGGTAAATGCACAGTTAGACTAGAAGTTTCTTCCTACTTTTCGTGGTTGGAGATATCTATGTGTAAATGGTTACCGGTATATGTTCATTCTGAACAAGAGAGAAGGAGAGAATGGATCTCATGGAGATGCAGTCAGAAAGACTGCAGAGCAACAGTCTCAACATTGAACGACATAATGTCTAAAATTCCTGGCCCGCGTTTCACAAAAGCCTCCTAAATTTAGGAGGTTGTAGACCCTACGACCATGTTTACGACCCTCTTCCGGCCGTTTCACAAAGACGTCATATCCATGTCGTACGACGAGGTCCTAAATCCATGTCGTACATTGTATAAGAGGTACTTTGTTGCATAGCAACGCATAAAGCGAGACCGAACGGGCACCTGCTTATCTTGTTATTCCCAAAGTATTTCAAAATAGAAAAACAGTTTGAAATAACAATGCAAATGTTATGTTTTTAATTCAATGTACAGGTTATCTTATGGTAAAAAAATATCAATAAATTAATTATTTTGGATTCTCTCACTAAATTTCATTGAAAATTACAAGATAAAATGTATAAATCATTTCCATTAATATTATCAGTTTTACTTATAAGGTTTGAATTGAATCGCTGTCCATTAACTTGTTCATATGAAACTGCAATATTAGTCCCAATGTATTGAATATTGCACACTATAGGACCTAAAGTCAATGTTGCAGTTATGGCTACCCTTGATCTACTAACACTTGTGTAAAGGTTTAAAATGTGGTGTGATACTCTAAATGTGTCAATTTCTTTTGTAACTTTTATTCAAAATATCAAAAACTTTCAAAGAATAAAAACGTATACCCTGTATCCACATATGATATGATATTGAAAAAAGCTAAATGTAGGTAGAATCTACTGAAATTGGTTTCATGAAAAAAAATATCTGAATGATACGCAAAATATACATCATATTACTGAAAGTGTAATCAGAAGGATAGGACGATTGTGTTTACTTTTTTTTCATCCGAC